TTTTTTTTTGGCATTTTCAGGGGTTATCTGTGGCCTTAATACTTACATGGGTATGTATTTTGGTAATTTTTATGCTTTCTGAATGCCTCCAGGTAGATGTGATCAGGAAATGGGCTTCCCTTTTCACTCTTCTTCCTGAGAAATTTCAAGATGACATTGTTGGTTGTTTTGACATAACTTAGGATTTAAATTTTGGCTTATTTCCTTTTTTGTCTACTTGTCCCGCTCCACAATCCCTGTTAAGGCCTTATTTCTAGTTGTAAACAGTTCAGGGCCGGCTGTGGCCGTTTGGTTTTAACTGGAAACTGTCTCTTTAAATTTCAAGGAGATCTGTAAGCATGCGTAGTAGAGCCCTCTGAGGGTAGGGCTGGGGTGCCCACTAGCTCAGGCACCCCTATAGTCACCAGAATGGAGGTGTGCAGACAACAAGGGACCCATGAACAGCCACCAAAAGAAAAGAATGTCCACACCTTTATCTCAGCAGTTCTGCCAGGCATTTGTGGCCGCTCAAATCCTTCCCCTGCTTGGTATCACCCAAGATGGTGGCTCCTGGAGCAGCTGAGTGTTTTGAATTTAAAAGCGATGGATTTCTTGCTTCTGCTACAAATTTCCCTAGCTGTAAGCCTTCCAACCTTCTAAATATTCCTTTATATGTGGTTCAGAGTTCTGGGACCATCCCCTGAGCCTGCTTCATCCTGTAGTCTGTGTTTTTGCTGATGGAGCTCCTTACTGCACTTCCACCTGATCTGCCATCTTGTTTGTTCTCGAGTTGGTTTTGACTCATAGCTACCCTACACACAACAGTACAAAACACTGTTTTGTTCCTGTCCCATTTTTGTAATTGTTACATTTGAGGCCTTTGTTGTTGCCACTGTATCATTGCCATTGTATCAATCCATTTTGTAGGGTATCTTCCTCTTGTTTTCTGACCTTCCAATTTACCGAGCATGATGTATTTCTCCATCTGGACTAGTCCCCCCTGAAAACATGCCTGAAGTATGAGAGATGAAGGCTCACCATCTTGGCTGCTGGCTGCACTACTTCCAAGATAGACTGTTCTTTTGGCAGTCAATATTCTTCTGCAACACTATAATCAGAATGTGTTGATCTTTGATGGTCTTCCTTACTCACTCTACAACTTCTGCATGCTGACGTTAAGACAATGAATAAAGCTATTGAACATACCATGGCTTGGGACAGGTGCACCTCAGTCCTCAAACTGGTATCTTTGCGCCTTAACATTTTAAAGGGGTCTGTCTATTGCAGCAGATTTGCCTAATGCAATACACTGATTTCTTGACTGCTGCTTCCAGGAGCACTGATTGTA